AAATTGATCACGTGACGCAATAGTGTTCATCCACGAGGAGAAACTATATCAGCCCATAGTGGCCGTCCGAAGAAAATACCCGGATGGATAGTACTCATTTGTGACAATTTTTCTGAAATCGTATTAAGTGTGTTTTTGCCTGTTTTCTTTTCCAAATTTTACGTTTGGCTTTCATGGGTTTCATATAAAAAAGTTGAAAATAATTCAATATGATTTTTGAACTGGCGCGCGGAAGAAAATTAGTAGTCAACGATAAAGACAAAAGATTGTTTATTTCTTGGAACTATCGGCCTGATAGTTGCCCCTTGGAAATTTGATGTTCTTAAAACTAGCATATTTGCCCTCGAAGCTTCGCTTCTCGGGCAAATAGTTGTTTTAAGAACATCAAATTTCCCTTACTATTGCAAGACAAATTTTTCTTGCAATAGTGAAGGCACTGAGGAAATGTCTTAACAGGCTCACGTTGTCTAGGGTTGGACCACAAACCTAAGATATTGGAAATTTCCACTAGCTTCCCATCCATGTTTCATTAATTTTTCATACTCTCCATTCAAACAAACAGCTTTCGCGGAAAAATAACCTATCCCTATAGTAAAAGCACTGTTTTTATACTTGATTACTATAATATGGCTATTCCTACCATCTCTGCAGCCATAGAACTCAGCTCTCATTGAAATGTGAGTTTTCCATGTCTCTGGGTGAATACGGATGTAGCGAGCAATGATGGGCGTTTCCAGGTCGTGACTAACAGGTGTATAGCGATCATGATTTCCTTGAAATACCTGAAGGGAATAAAATGAAGCCACACATTAGCACGCGCATGCTGTTGGCTCTCTATTTACTCAYTCACGTGATCTGAAATTGACCCATTGTGCACAAGTCAGGCGGCATTCTTCTCCTGYTAATAAGCAACAACAACGAGAACGTTGTCAAACAAACAGTTAAATGAATAGTTCAAAAGCTTAATTTTTAAGTCCGTTATCCATCTTGCGCGGACGTCTCTAAAAAGGCCGTTCATCGCCAAACAACAAAGCGCGTGAAACCGGCGTTCTAGTTCTGCGTACTTTTGGAAAACAGGAACTACGACGGCTAAATTTTGTTTCCAATTTTATGTGAAAAAAACGCCGTCGTCTACGTTTATCTCGGTCACTTTTCAGGCTTAAGAATCTCGCAATTATCGATAAACATAAACAATCGATTCCTACCGATAGGTCGGCCGACACACTAAGGACCTTACGCAAAACACGACAGCAACAGCAACGAGAACGTCACCAAACAAAAGGTGTATTGAGCAAAACAATGGCTGTGCACGTGCATTATAATTCTTGGTACATTTCTTTGCCGTCCTCTGGAAGACAGCGACGTGAAATGACCAAATCCTGTGTTGCCTGGAGAACGTGAGCCACAACGGCTAATGTTTCGTGTTTCTATTTGGAACTGAACGCATTCGTAGCATATTCAGCAGGGGCAGGTTTTACTAAGGACAAACACACTGGATAGTTTCAAATAAATGCAAAATTCCAAAGTAAAATAGAAACGCATTTTTTACTAGGCGTCGTCCTCACCGTCGCCGTCGTATATGCGTAAGTTCCCTACTTCCGACACGTCGGCCGACATATTACAAACATCTCGGCCGACACACTACCGCCGACACACCGTCGAGCGACACACTACTAACGCGTCGGATGAGACAATACCGACGAGTCAGCCGACATTTTACCGTCATGTCACATATATGTTTCTGGAACAGTTATCACCGTTTAACTTTTACTGGGTCTATTCAGTGTATCGAATGGTCTAAGAACTATACTACAGCGTCCAGTTTCAAATAGAAACGCAAAAAAAAAAGTAGCCTCCTGGTTCACCTTCGCCGCCAATTGAAAGAGAGATAATTTGGTCATGTAATGTGCAGAGAAAGGCTAATAAATGTGCATTACACTGCTCATTCAACGCAATTTAGTACTAAACGTTTCTCGAGAACGCAACAGACTTACAGATTATCGCTACGGTAGGTTTCAGACACTTATATTCCAGAAATCTCCAGATAACCTGTTCAAATCGTAATTTAGATATCTGACATTTGTTTTTTTCTTCTTTTTTAATTTTCGGAGTTTTTGTATGTTTTGTTTTGTTTTTTTGCTATTATTTTTTTTTTATCGAAAATCTTCCATTCCATTAATATTTTCCCCACTTTTCTTTCCGTCAGAAAGTGAGAAAACCTTGGTTTAAGAGATAAAGCGTTTGAAAAATACTCTATTGTGTTTATGATTG